TAGATTTCTATGATCATCCTCCAAGGCCTGAACGTCAACAAGATTGGAGACCCTAAACTCTTTTTGGATCCAACTACAGCCTATCTCCTAAATGATTCTGAGATGGCAGTTCTTGAAAATGAGAAATTATGGACTTAGAGGTGTCATAGCTTCCAAGCAGGTGTTCATTAGGGAGGGGAGATAATGAGGAACCAGGAACCCAGACCTCCCTTCTGGAATTCCTGGCCTCCAACAAGAAGAGGCTCACTGCTCACTTCCTGTTTTCAGCAGGAAGAGATGCTCCAGGAACTGTCAATGATGTGTTTTGTTGTTTAATTTGTTTTGGTGTTTTGGGTTTTGTTGTTGTTGCTGTGTTTGTTTACACCTGCTGCTTTTCCCTATTAGAGAGCACAGAATTCTTAGAAAGCAATGCTCTTACCAAGATAAAGGCCTAGAGTCCATGGCCCCTGCTCAGGACTCGGCTTCTGGCTCTGGGCTGACAACCACACCCAAAGATAGCTTCCTTTCCCTAGGGCCTGCTTTCCACTTCCTCACCTGCAAAACACTTAGTTCTCTCCTGCCCCTCAGAAAGGACTTTAAAAACTATCTTCTCTTCAATCACTTTCTGCCAAAGACTTACTTTCTTTTGGCCTTCACCATCTCCAGCTATGGATACGATCTTCCTTTAGATTGGTTTTTCTGCTTCCTGGAAAATCCTGGTTCCTGCTCCTTGATCACTAGAAGCTGTCTTTGGAGCCATTTCTGAGTAGTAGGTCTCCTGAACACTGGGGACCGTTAGATAATGGTCTTTGAATATGGCAAGCCCAGCCAATCCTCTTCTATCAGTCCCTGGATACTTAAAGGGCTGGTTTGTCTGGGTTCTGGAGCGTGGTGTTAATGCACAGTGTGATTCAGTGCCCTTCAGTGTGGATCTGAATAAAGCAAAGAGAAAGGAAGGAATAGGAAGCAGAAATACCACACTCGCAGAAGCTACTGTAAGTCACTGGCTCTTTGTAAACTCTTCTTTTTCAATGACAAAACTAATCTCCAAAGTATGCTTAGAAGACTCCAGCTAACTCTCTGATAATTGGAGAGACTATTACAGCCTGAAAGTATGACAACATAACCTGCCTGGCTGGCAGAAATGGGACTATACTAATGACACAAATATGTCCATTCCTTCACTTTTACACTGTTAGAGCAATGGGCCCCTCAAGGGTTTAGAATTCCATCAGGAGTCAACTTCTAGGAAAAGAAACGACTGCCTGCTGTAGGGGCAGGCAGGGGAAGAATCTGCAGCCAGTGGAGCATATACACTGTTTGTCAATTTTACTTGCAAAAACAATTTGCAGCTTGTCAGAGAATGTTGCAGGAAAGTCCGGATGAGACAATGGTGGCACCCAATCTTCGCCACACAACTTGCTTATGCGTATACCTTGTCTTCTCTTTAAGCCTAAACCTCACATCAGAGCCTTGCAAATAGACTTGAGGGGCAGTTGAATCTCTTTACCCCACTTCCCAACATTGAATAATCTCCCTTTTCTGATGTGAGCTATTAATTTAGCTCTTTTAATGTGCTTATGGAAGACCAATAGCCAAATTTGGCTTATTGGGGCAAAGATGCCTTCATGTGTAGCCACACAACACAGGTAGTCAACTTCTGTACCAATCTGCTTTTAAATGTTCTTTGTTGGATTCTTGTTCAAAACTCATGTGTGGGGAAAAAAACATAAGGGGTTTCCTTAGCCAAAACAGAACACACAGCAGTGTGTGTGTAAATGTGCGTAAATGAAAGATTCATATAATAGCTCTGTCATTGCCTCTTTACACACTTCCCTTTCCAACCAGACGATCACCTCAATCAATAATGTGTTATGGTACTTAGAAAGCCTCTATAATATAGTCCTCAAAACTATCCTTTTGTTTTCAATGAGAGCTGTGTTTTAATTAGCCCATCATTTGCACTAGGAAGAAGACTAATGGATTCAAGCTGTGTTAGGCTAACTAGAACAGGCACGCTTCCCGAACTATGCCAGTGGGCTCCCTACACGTGCTCACTCTGCCTCCTCTGAGCCCCCTTCTAGGTTAATTAATAGTCAGGGTGAAAGGGAAAGGTTTATACCTGCACAGAGGTGCTGCAAGCTGGCCTGGAATGCTGACATTGTTTCCATTCAGCTCTTAGAAACCACTTTCTAGTACCTTCAGCATTTTACCCCAAATCGCAGCTTACCTAACACAGGATTTAACCATGTTTAGTCTCACGATATCTAATATTATGTTACTACAAGCTTAGGGTACTGATTCTCCTTTAAAAAAAAAAAAAAACTTTATTGTAGATTAGAATTTTTTTAAAGCCCACAGATTATCAACACACATTTAAAAATCAATCAATAAATGTGGCACAATAACAGTGTAAGGTATAGAGGAAGGCAGATGGAGTGAGAAAAAAATATGAGAGGGAGCAAACATTTTAAAACAAAACACAGCAGTCTAGGTCAAAATCACGTGGCAATGCACAGAGACGCACTTTGAACCAGCCTCATTACTTTCTTCATTCCATATTCAGTGCAGGTTATAGCTATCAGCAGGCTTTGGTGTTTAAAGAGTGCATCCCTGTTTATTTACTGGCTCTCAATGCTGGAGGCGCAGAGCTCATGCCAGGGTTGAGGAATAGAACAGGAACACATTGGTTTCAATGGAAAAAAACAAAAAACCAAAAACAAACAAACAAAGAAACACAGCAGGTTATTTAACAGGTTGAGAAGAAATTGTACTGACAACAGAGAAGTTGGAAACTGGCAATAAGGGAAAGGTAGGTGGGTTTTAAAAGAGAATGGTTATGCAGAAAGGAAATGGAGATGCTTACCTAACATCCCATCTAACTGAGGCGGTCCCTTAGTGCCATGTAATCTCAGGCTGTACCACAGCACAAACGTTAAGTATTGAAGTCAGTGCACAGTATTACATTCAAAGTCTCAGTATTACGGATCTTAGATGACAGTTTACAAAGTCTTTCTTTTTCAAAAATAAGAAAGCCTTTTTCCTTTTTTGTTTTTTTTTTTTCTTCTTGGTTGGTTGGTAAGTAAAGATATAGAGGTGGGTTTCACCCATGTCTTTCTACCCGTGAGGGTTTCATTCCAAAATCACACCAATAGATCTGAACTAATATTCTGTGATACTATCTGTGTCTCTCAATAAAGTCTCACTGACACACCTGGGTCATGTGACATGGACAGTTGTGTCAGCCATGAGTAGTCCCTGGCCCCAGATTATAGCTGTTTGGAAATGGGGCCCTTTTACTTTGTGTGGCTCACTGTGCAGCCTGTTCTACATAAAATAGCAAGAGACAGGACTTGGATGACGCTCAGAACTGTCAAGTTACAACTCTCCTTTCATCCTTCTCTCTTTAGATTTTTTAAATTTCATTTCCTGAAAATCAAAATGGCAGCTTTGCTCTAAGGATACTGTCTGCTGTTTGTTCTAATCTCAGCCCACACTTCTCAATCTGCTGCAACTGTCCATGTTTCCTAGATACTCCTTGAATGCTCCGGACAGCTTCCAGCACAAAGCCTCCTTTCCTCATTTGCTCTCATTTGTGTCCATGGGCTCAGTGTCTATCACATTTAGTTTCAGGGAGGGTTTCTTCACTTAACTCATTTAAAAGGGAGGCTCTCCCTTGTGTGTGCTTGCTAACTGGCTTTCTCTTTCTTTCTTTCTTTCTTTCTTTCTTTCTTTCTTTCTTTCTTTCTTTTTTCAGGGAACTTAATCTCACAAAAGATAGATGCTTCATTTATTTACCCAGTTCCTCTGCTGTATCTGTCATTCTGATCCCATAGAGTTTTGGTAGTTTGAATGAAATAGTCCCCATAGTCTCAGGTACTTGAGTACTTGGTCCCCAGTTGGTGGCACTGTTTGAGGGAGCTTAAGAGGTCTGGCCTTGGACCAGCAGCTTTGAGATTAAACAGAATCATGCCATTTCTAGTGTGTTCTCTCTGCTTTGTGCTTGCATCTGAAAATGCAAAGCATGACCTTCTGCTTCAGCTTCCTTACCTGCCCACCATGATGGTTATAGATTTCATCCTTCCGGAGCTATACATCCAATTAAGCCCTGTAAAGTGACTTGGCCATGGTGTATTATCACAGCAATATCCTGCAACATACAGGAAGTCTTTTCAGCACTGTATCAGTGGTAAATGCACTGTGAATGTTCAATAAACTTGTTTCTTGAATACAGCAATCAATGTGTGAGTACATATCTAACTTTGTAATAGGGCACAGGTTGTTCAGTGTCTTAGTTTCATCTGTGTTGCTATGTTAAAGAAATTATGACCAAGAGTAAGTTAGAAGAGGAAAGGGTTCTAGGTTATAGCTTATGGACTATAGCCCATTACTGAGGCAATACTGGAAAGAATGCAGAAACCATAGAGAAACACTGCTTGCTCGCTCAGCAGCCCAGGGAATGGTGGCACCCAAGGGGGCTGAGGATTCCTACATCAACAATAAGCCAACAGTTTTCCCCAAAGACATGCTCATAGGTCAATAGGATCTAGGCAGTTCCTCAGTCCACTCTTTCCCCTTTGATGACTCTGGGCTATAGGAATTCCTAGGACACCAGGGACCATAAAGGTCCAATGTTCTTTTGCTAACTACTCTTGTTTCTTTTAGACATTATTTTGAGGCCTATTTAATGCACATAAATTGGAAACCCTTGTTCATTCATGACAGAGAAAATTATATGTAAACTTTCATTGTATCATTTGCTTTGTCATCTAATGTATATTGTTAATTTTTGATATGTGAAAGATAGAAGAAATGACTAAACTTTCTTTCTGGGTTCACTGACACTTGAAAGCAGTTATAAGTAATTATTATTTTAAATATTTTAGATATTTAAACCTAATTTTGTATTTGTGCATTTATATTTTCTTTCAAATAACTTGAAGAGATAACTAACCTATATAAGGAACAGCAAGTGCAGATAGTAATATCTGATTGTTTTGTTTTCCTTGCCTTAGGGGACCATGGACATTGAGGCATACTTTGAAAGAATTGGTTATCAGAACTACAGGAATATACTGGACTTGCAAACATTAACTGAGATTCTTCAGCACCAGATACGAGCCATTCCCTTCGAGAACTTGAATATCCATTGTGGGGAACCCATGGAGATGAGCTTAGAGGCTGTTTTTGATCACATTGTGAGGAAGAAGCGGGGTGGGTGGTGTCTCCAGGTCAATCATCTTCTCTACTGGGCTCTGACCATGCTAGGTTTTGAGACCACAATGCTTGGAGGATGTATTTATATCTCTCCAGCCTGCAAATATAGCAAGACCATGGTTCACCTTCTACTACAGGTGATCATCCGTGGCAAAAAATATATAGTAGATGGTGCATTCCCATTTTCCTGCCAGATATGGGAGCCTCTGGAATTAATTTCTGGGAAGGATCAGCCTCAGCTGCCTGCCACCTTCCGCTTAACAGAAGAGAATGGAATTTGGCATCTGGGTCAAATTAAAAGACAAGAATATGTTCCAAACAAAGAATTCATTGATTCTGATTTTCTTGAGAAGAACAAACACCGGAAAATCTACTCTTTTATTCTTGAACCTCGAACGATTGAAGACTTCAAGCCTGTGAGTGAGCACTACAAAGTAGCTCCAACATCCGTGATGGTGAACACATCACTTTGCTCTCTGCACACCCAAGAAGGGGTTCATGGCTTAATAGGCACTATTATTGCCTATAAGAAGTTCAATTATGAGGATGATGTAGATCTGGTAGAGTTTAAGAGTCTGAAGGAAGAAGAAATAGAAGAAGTTCTGAAGAGTGTATTTGGCATTCACTTGGAAAAAAAACTTGTGCCCAAACGTGGTAGTGCTTTTTTTACTATTTAGAGTAATGAGGAAAAAAATGAACTTCAATGTTTTCATATGTAGTTATTCTTTCATGATAAAACAATCAAATTATGCAAATTAGGTGACAGAATAAGTCTCAAGTCATCATCACAAAGTTCATCACTGGTTGACTGGTGGCATGTCAACATCTGTCCCCTCATTATATCAAGAAAATCACAGACATTAAATTGCTTTTCCTGTAAAACTACCCACTTATGTAACTAAATAACTTTTAAAGAAATGTGCCATTTAAAATGTAATCACAATAAAAGTGCTCTAATGATGATAAAGTTGTCTTCATTTATACTATAAAACCCTTCATCTTGACTCATTGTTGAATTCACACAAAGGTTTTAAGGGTAATTAGGTGAAGTGTATAGTGTAATCATCATGCTCACCTAGGAAATATTCAGATTCATTTTTACAAAATGCCCTTATATGGCTTAAGGGGGAAACAGGGAAGAATAAGATACAGTGTTGGTTATATGTAATTCTGAAAACAAGAATGGTACCAGTAGAAAGTACTGAGAGATGAGGAGCCACACAGAGCACAGCTGGTCATTTCTCTTACAATGCCTTCGGCAGCTTTAATTCTGCACTCAGGATAGTTTCAACTTTGTTAATATTTATATTCAGAATATTTTACTTCCATTAAATACTTCATATATAATAGGAGCATCTATAAGCTGTGGAATATATATCTGATGGAAATATAGCAAAGAGAATATTATTGACTTACACAGTAAGAATCAAAGGTTTCTAAAGGAGTCGCTGTATTTTGAGCCTTGGTGATTTTTCTACAGTTTTGGTTTGTGGATTCAGTGTCAGAGCTGTACTTTAAAATGCATATTTATTCTTCCATTTGTGGTCAGCTAAGACAGGTAATGAGAAATGTAAGGATAGGAACAAATGACCATTCATTAGGAGAATAGGCCAGTTATCCACATGAAAATTTTATATAGTTGAAGTATTTACTCAAGGTAGATATCCTAGGAAGAGGTAGACAAGAAACCTGTACTGAGTGGGAAGAGAGGGTGTCAATGTCACTTTGTTTTCAAGATCCACGGTCCTTTCTGTCAATGTCAAGTCGGTCTGGCACTCTTGAGCTCAAAAGTTTGTTGTCACATAATCTGACCAAGACCATTCCAATGAGAAAAACCACTGAGGCAGTCAAGAAAAGTAGATCACAGAAAATGATGAAAATTATCAGTAGTGCAGACGTTAAACCTTCCCAGTGCAGTCAGCTTTTCTTGACTGTTTCACCCATTCTGGGCAAGGGTGGAGAGCTTTTGCTGAAAGAATTTGTAGATCTAAATCTTGGCTGAAAGACTAAACAGTTGAATATAGACTGCACAATGTCCACAGTCACTGTGTGAGATCTAAATGACTGAAGAAAAAAGAAGCCAACAGCATTTCTGGCTAAAGATTTTAAAGTGTTTCTCCATTCTTTGGGACTTTCTGAAGAACAAACTGTCCTTTAGGTGGCTTTCCAGAGATGAGGAAGTGCCATATCCTGTCAGGCCCCCAGGACTATAAAGTAGAAGGCAGAGCTCCATATTGTCTGGAAGGATTGGGATGATGGTCCTCATGGTGAGGCCAAGTCTGTGAATTTATGCCCAACTCTGCCAATACTAGGCCAGGGTGAGTGTCTGTGACACCCTCAGATCCTGGAGCGAGAGATGAAGAAGGAGGCTCATTGTAAATGTATATCTTTGCCTCCATGGAGTCCTAGAACTGAGTTATTAAAGAAATGATCCTTTCAGTGAGCCTTGTATAAATAATGATACTTACTGAATGCCAGCCACATATCTAGAACTCCGAAAGGAAACACAGGTAGGTAGTTTTACTAAATGAATACACTATCGAATGTGCTCTACTCATACAGTGGTTAATTCACTGGTTAAAAAAAATAGTGAGTCCTAGCTATTCCACAGCTGAAATTCAAATGTGCTAAGTAAAAGTAACCAAACACTAAACTCAGCTGTGGTGACTATTTGTATAGATTTTATTGACTAATATTATCAAACTATACACTTAAAACAAATAATAAATGTATGTGAAAACAGCTATTTCAGATGGTTGGTCCTGATCACCGGACATTGATAAACAGCTACGAATTTTACCTACAACGGAAAATAGCTAAGCCTTACCATCTACTGTTAGGCCAGCACCCTGGTGGAGCTAATTAAAGATTCCTTCTTGAACAAGAAACAGAGTCTTGGTTTAACCAACAAAATGAAAATTCATGCAGTTATTTGGCCTCAGCCAGGCTGAAAACCTGGTTCACAGCCAATACTGTTCACATGCTCTCAACAGCTGCCATTCACATGCTCTCACAGGAGCCATTCACTAATTCATCACCCATGTGAGATAATTTATCCTGACAAGAGCTAGCAGTGCTTTCTTGCCTAATAATACACTTTTGCCTTTTATTTTCTTTCTTTTTTTATTAATTTATTATTCACTTTACAGCCTGTTTGCAGCTCCCTGTCTTCTCTCCTCCCAGTCCCACCTTCACATCCCTCACCATTCCCCTTCTCCTTTTCCTCAGAGAAGGAGAGGCTACCCCATGGTTACTAACCATCCTTGCCACATCTAGTCACAGCAGGACTAAACACATCCTCTCCCACTGAGGAAAATGAGCATGGTAGACGGTATGAGTCCATGACAGTGAATCAGTTTCTGAGTTAAAAACTTAACTTTGGTACACGAAAAAAGACACAGATGTGAAGAATATGTAGCCTCAGAACTGAAGAAAGTTTCCTGAACTACTGGGGAGACTTGTCCACTCTTAATTCTACAATATCTAATTGTGTTGTGGTGGTAAGAGTGAGAATAGCTGAAATATGCTCGTGTGTTTGAAAGCTCGTCTCCAGCTGATGGGACTCCTTGGGAAGGATTAGGAGATGTGACCTTGTTGGAGGAAGTGTGTTTCTTTAATCAGGCTTTGGGGTTGACAGTTGGCTTTCTCTGCATCCTGCTTGTGGGTCAATATGTGAGCTCTCAGTGGTTCCCGCTGCCCTGTCTTTGTTCTAACATCATGGACTTTAACTCTCTGAAACTATAAACCATAAATTAATTGCTTTTTTTTGTATGTTGCCTTGGCCATGTGATTTATCCTAGCAATAGAAACACTGATGGAGATACTAATATATTCCAGAAGGCTATCAGGACCAGTTCATGTTTTATGTTCTCAATGTAAGTTGTTCAAATGCAAAACTTCTCTTCCTGTACTATCAAATTTAGTTACATATTAATTTAAACAGATCCTTGCATTATCTTTTTATTATTTTATTTTGTATTCATTTATTCTTTCATGTATTACATCCTGATCACAATTTCCCTTCTGTTCTCTCCTCCCAAACCTTTCCCATTCTCCCTTCCCCATCTACTACTCTTCTTTTTCCATTCAGAAAAGGGAAGTCCTCCTATGGATATCAACCAGACATGTCATATCATTTTGCAATAAGACTAGACACCCCCACTCTTTCATGTTAATGCTAGCTGAGGCAACCCAGTAGGAAGACAATGTCCCCAAAGCAGGCAAAAGCATCAGAAATAGTCCCTGCTCTCTCAAATTGGAGTCCCACAAAAACACAAAGCTACAAAACTATAACATATATGCAAAGGGTCTAGGTTAGACTCATGCAAGCTCCCTGATTGTTGTCCCAGGCAGTCCAGCTAGGGAAAAAGTATCTAAAGGTAGGCAACATAGTCACAGACATACCCTATTCCCATTGTTAGGGGACCCACATGATGACCAAGCTGCACATCTGCTACATATGTGTAGGGGCCTAGGTCCAGCCCACGCATGCTCTTCGGTTGGTGGTTCAGTATCTGTGAGTCCCCATGGGCCCAGGTTAGTTTACTCTGTAGGCCTTCTTGTGCTGTCCTTAACTCTTCCAGCTCTCTCTGTCTTTCCCCCAAATCTTCCACAAGACTTCCTTTCCTCCACCTATTGTTTGTCTATGGGTCTGTGGGTCTCTGCATCATTTTCCATCAGCTGCTGAGTGAAGCCTTTCAGAAAACAATTATGCTAGGCTCCTGTCTGCAAGCATAGCAGAGTATCACTAATAATGTCACGGGTTGGCTTTCTCCCATGGGGTGGGTCTCAAGTTGGGCCAGTCATTGGCAGGTCACTCCCTCAATCTCTGCTCTGTCTTTAGCCCTACACTTCTTGTAGGCAGTACAGATTTTTGCTTTGTGTTTGTTGTTGTAATATACATATACATATGTGTGTGTGTGTGTGTATGCACATACCTGTATATGCCAGTGTGCACACATGCAGACCAGAGAAATACATTGACTATCTTGAAACTCAGTGTTTCAGCTAGATTGGTGTTCACTGAGTTACTAGGGTCCTCCTGTCTTCACACTCAGTAGTTCGAGAGTTAAACGTATGTACATGGTTAAATCGAGTTTTCCTTTTTAAGTGTTTATTTTTTGGTAATTTCACACACGGCACACTTTGATCACAGACACCCCTCATTCCTCTTTTCCACTCGCCTCTGGACTCCCTGCAGCACATCTCCTTCCACCCTTAATGCCTTCCACCACATATTGTTCTTCTTTAATATTTTTAAAATAGTCCATTGGATCCCAGGAGTGTTGCCAGGATATGCATGGATATGGCCATTTGCTGGAGCACATGGCTCAGCCTTTAATTTGGATTCCGGGGATTGGCACTCGGGTTTTCATGTGACACCAACAGTAGCTTCAAGGCCTAAGTAACAATGTGAGATCTCAACTCCAGAAAAGCCACACCCTCCCTTCTCAATAGTAAGGCAGACTGTAGTGTAGAATGGTAGGTGCTTTAAATAGTAGCTTCCTATTATGTTTTCTCGTTGGTTGTGCTTATTGGCTACAGCTGAACAGCACACATGAGACATCTGACAGCAGTAATTCATTTCCACACAGTTCCAGAGACACAAGTATAAGCTCTAGGTGTTGACAGCCTTCATCCTCCTGTCTCTCTCCCTGGCTTTGGATGAATTTACTCT